CCTCCGGCCTACAGCCTGGTGGCCCCACAAGGGGGCTGGCGGATTTCGTTTACCATTCATATAATATGTGTACTATTGTTTGCGCCAGCAACCATTACATGCTCAATGTCATTACTCATAGTGTTATGCGTCTCTCTTTTTTGCCGACATCGAATCGATACGTGTGCACACCGGTCGAATCATACGCCTACCCAGGCCAAATCAGATTTGATCGCCGTCCTTTCCTTCTTCCCTTCCTCGTTGCCATTATAGGTCCTTGCCTGACCTCTCCCGCCCATGTGCGGCTAGTCGCCGGCCGAACGCCGCACCGATTGCAGTGTGCAGCGTAGTATACATATAACGGTGCATTGGACCCGAGGGCCCAGGGCCGGAACCTTGTCCACAAATGTGGGCACCGGGGCTTGGGCCCGCCTCTGGGAGGTCTCAAGTCGCCCCGGGGAGCCCTCAGACAGCAATCCCAGCGGCCCCAGACGGTCTCGAGACACCCCCAAGACGCCGTCCAGGGGTCTTTGGCGACGCACGGTACATTTAAACTGCCCTGGAGGCCCCCAAGACGCCCCAAGAGGCCTTGAAGATGCCGCCCAAAAGCGCCCCGAGAGGGCAAAATCGTTGATTCTCATTCCCAACCATCCTGTGGTGTTGGGTCCTCGTTTTGAAGAGACAGCGCCCCGCGTCCCTCCCTCCCTCCCTCCCGCCTTCTCCTCCTCCTCGTCCTCCCCTCGTTTCACCCACCCAGTACAGCGTTTCGTGGCCCCATAGGAGCTCCACCGAAGGCCCCAGTGGCAAGGTTCGCATGGCGGCCTCGGGCCATTTCGGCACACCCCTCACGAGGATCGTGGACCCATAGGGAGCCATCGAAGGCGCCAGTGGCAGGGTTCGCATGGCGGCCTCGGGCCATTTCGGCACACCCCTCAGGAGGATCGTGGCCCCACAGGAGCTCCTTTGAAGGCGCCAGTGGCAGCGTTCGCATGGCGGCCTCGGGCCATTTCGGCATACCCTTCACGAGGATCGTGGCCCCGTAGGGACCTCCACCGAAGGCGCCAATGGCAGGGTTCGCCTGGCGGCCTCGGGCCATTTCAGCACACCCCTCACGAGGATCGTGGCCCCATAGGAACTCCACCGAAGGCGCCAGTGGCAGCGTTCGCATGGCGGCCTCGGGCCATTTCGGCACACCCCTCACGAGGATCGCTGCCACATAGGAGCTTCACCGAAAGCGCCAGTGGCAGGGTTCGCATGGCGGCCTCGGGCCATTTCGGAACACCAGCCCGAGCGGCCCGCAAGACAGTCTCAGCGAGGCCCAAGAGGGCCGCAAGACGCCCAGGAACGCCCCGAGAGGGCCCGAGATGGCTTGAATATGGCCGAAGAGGGCCCCAAGAGGGCCTTCAAGAGGCAAACATCGGCCCATTCCCATAGTAAATCGTACGTGTTCAGCATACTCGCTCGCTTCGTCTTCACGGAGCCCCGAACGCCCCCGAGGAGCCCCGAGGCAGCCCAAGAGAGACCCAAGAGGGCACAGGATGGCCCAAAAGGGTCGTTCCGTGGGGTCACGGAACCTCCCAAGACGGCCCAAGGGGCCCCAAAGCAAGCCCAGGAGGCCCCGAAGGCGGCCTCTGTGAGGCCCAAGAGGGCCTCGTTCGCATTCATGTTCCCGGAAGCCTCTCCGGGAACATGATTTCCGGGCTCCCAGGGCGCCCAAAAGAGCCCTAGGCCCCAAAAGGGCCCTACAAGGACATGCGAAAATGCCTGGAGGGCCAAAGTTTGTTAATTTGCGCGAGATGTTGTTGGCTTTCTTCCGCGCGGAGGAGACGGAGAGGGCGAAGGAGGAGGAGGGGGAGGAAAAGGAAGAGGAAAAGGGGGAGGAGGCGGGGGGGAGGAGTGGAGGGGAGGAGGGGGGAGAGAGGAGGAGGCTCGAGGGCGATCGACGATCGGCAACGACGACCAGCGACGGTGATTGACGACGACGACGACGGTCGACGACCGACGACGACGACGATCGTCGACGACCGACGACGACGACGATTGACGACGACGACGACAACAGTCGACGCCGCCGATCCACGATCGACGCCGACGACAACGACGGCCGCGCTGACGGCGGCGACGCTGTCCGCGTGCGCAGAGCCACCCTGGGCTCAGTCTTTTCCGCATCGTTCGATATCCTATCCCCGGAAGCCCATGCGGGAACATGATTTCCAGAGGAGGCGGGGGAGGAGGAGGAAAAGGAAGATGAAAAGGAGGCAGTGGAGGAGGAGGAGGAGGAGGAGGAGGAGGAAGAAGAATAGGTGGAGAAGGGGGGGAGGAGTTGGGAGGAGGAGGGGGGGGAGAGAAGAGGGGGACGGGGGGAGGAGGAGGGAAGAGGGAGGAGGAGGAGGAGGAGGAGGAGGAGCAGGAGGAGGAAGGGAGGAAAGAGGAGGAGGAGGAAGAAGAAGAGGAGGAGGAGGACGTTTTGGAGGAGGATGTGGAGGAACAGGAGAAGAGGAGGAGGAGAAGGAAGAGGGAGGCCGTCTCCGAGTGTTCCCTTCATCCGATGTGGCCCGGTGCTTGCGCAGCGCTGCGGCGCGGTCTGGTGAACCATGTGGGTTGGACAGAGGCAGGAGAAAGAGCAGGGGGAGGAGGAGGAATGATAACAGGAGGAGGAGGAGGTGGTGGAGGAGGAGGAGGAGGAGGAGGACGAGGAGGGGGAAGAGGAGCAGGAGAAGGAGGAGGAGGATGTGAGGAGGAGGAGGAGGAGGAGGGGGCGAGGAGGAGGAGGAGGAGAAGGAAGAGGAGGAGGAGGAAGAGGAACATGCTGATGGTGCTGATGATGATGATGACGATGATGATGATGATGATGATGGTGATGATGATGATGTTGATGATGGTGATGATGCTGATGTTGATGATGATGTTGATGCTGATGCTGATGATGATGCTGATGAGGATGTGGATGAGGATGAGGGTGAGGATGAGGGTGAGGATGAGGATGATGATGAGGATGAGGGTGAGGATGATGATGAGGATGAGGATGAGGATGGTGAGGAGGAGGAGGAGGAGGAGAAGGAGGTGGATGTGGAGGTGGAAGAGGAGGGTGAGCGGAGTAGGAGGAGGAGGATTAGGAGGAGGGGAGGAGGAGGAGGAAGGAGAGGAGGAGGAGGAGGAGGGGACGAGGAGGAGGAGAGAGGAAGAAGGAGGAAAGGAGGGGACAACGAGGAGAGGAGGAAGAATAAGAGTGGAGGAGGGGGGGGAGGAGGATGGGGGGAAAGAGAGAGAGAGAGAGGAGGAGGAGGAGGAGGAGGAGGAGGAGGAGGAGGAGGAGGAGGAGGAGGAAGAGTGTCGTTTTCGGCCTCCTCGGGCCGCCTGGGGGTCAGGAGCGCCCGAAAGCTTTTCGAACCACGACCCACGAAACTCGACGAAGTGCATTTAGATTAAGCTAGAACCTAAGCGCTCGCGTGGTTCTAAAATACGTGTAACTATATATGTATATATATAGGGAGAGAGAAACCAGTTTGTATTAATGTATGTGCATATATATACAAATATATAAACGCACACGCATATTTTTTATATATGCATGTGTGTATGTGTATATGTATACGTCGATGCGTGTGCACTTCTATATGTATACATGCGCATATAAATGTGCATGTGTAAACATATATATATAAACAAAATGTGTACATACATACATACATACATACATACATACATACATACATACATACATATACATATACATATACATATATACATATATATATATATATATATATATATATATATATATATATATATAGATAGATCCCTGGACCGAGGCGGGGGGTGGCCGACTCGCCACGGAGGCGTCGGAGCGCCAGGGGGCCCTCCAGAACGCCCAAGACAGCCCAAACACATATGAAAAAGGGCGCGAGAGGCCTCCAGGATCCAGGAGGCCTACCATCGCGGAGCTATTGTTCTAACGCGCCCAAGATGACCTCCAGATGGCCCGCACCCCCAGAAGGGCCCCAAGAAGCCCAAATCATGGATTTTCCCAATGGTTTCTGGTTCAGTTTAGCGTTTCAACCTTTCGGCATCCCGACGCTCCAGGACGGCCCAAGAGGCCCCCAAGACCGTTCCACGATAACCGAAGCGGCCTCCAAGAGGGCCCCAAGACGGCTTTCGAGGCCCCAAGACGGTGCCTGAGGCGCCCAAGACGGCCCGAAAGGGCCCCTAGACAGTCCCAAGAGAGGCCCAAGAATGGGAACGCGAACTTGACAGCAGAGCCTCCCGCCTTAAGAAGCCCAGAGAAGACCCCAAGAGTCCCCAAATGGTCCGACGAGGCCCCCATAAGCCTCCCAAGTGGCTCCAAAAGGCCGAAACGAGACGTACAAGGGGCCCCAAGATTGCCCAACAGTGCCCTCGATGCATCAAAACTGTCTGCAGGAGGCCCCCGGGAGGCTTCCGGATTGCCTCAGCGTGGCCCCCGGCGCCCTCAAGTCGGGCCTCAACGCAGCCAAGACGGCCAATGACGGCCTCAGATTGCAGCACATCATCTTCCGACAGCCTGGATAACCCCGACGATGCTCCCAAGGGACCCCAACAAGCCCCAAGACGCCCCCCCAAGAAGAACCCAATAGGTGCTTGCAACAGCAAATTGAGAAAGCACGGGAAACCCCCCAGAAGCCCTTCATATGCCCCCACGAAGACCCAAGAGGCCCTCAGGAGGCACGACTATGTCACGCGCCTTTGCTTGATAGCGCTGTTCAATATCTTCCAGCGCCCTCCTGGCCTGGGCTAGAACTTGAGCGCGCGCGCGCGATGCGCGCACGATGGTTCTAGTTACCATCTCGGAGTCCTCAGCTCAGATCGTGATTGGTGTCAGCAGCAATTGTGTGGGTGTCGTGATTTCTTTTTGACGGGCGCATTGGATTCCATGAGTTCGGTCTTGGTCATTTCTTCGTTCCGTCCTCTTCGTCCGTTCCTGTGTTCCTTCTTCCCCAGGGGATGCCAACGATCGTCACCCTGCAGCCCGGGAGGGGGGGCAGGCGACGCCAGCGCCCGTCGCAGCGACGCCAGCACGCGCACGAGCCCGCATTCGTTGTCTTCGAGCGGGCGGCGCGGGGGCGGTCGCGCCGTCGTCGTATTTTGTCTCCTGGGCGCGTCTTGGTGCCGCGCCGAGGGGGGGAAGCGAGAGGAGCAGGCCTTTTCTGAAGGCCTTCTTTGAAAAGTCAGGACGTCATGTCGTTTCGAGAAGTTGGGCCTCCAGAGGCTTGTTCTGGGCTACAGGGCTAACAATCAGGGGCCCGCTGGCGCGAAATGCAGCCCCGTGCGAAGCAGAACCCTCGCGGAGTTTAACGGAAATTATCAAAAGGGTGTTCTGGATGGCAGAAGTCATGGGAGTCAAGGGGCCCTGGGAATGTCAGCGATCTCTCCTACATCAGGCTCGCGCCGCGTTGGCACGGCGGCGACCCCACCGCGGGCGTTCAAGGTTGAACGCTGCCAGTGGCCTGGATTCGGCCCATACCGACCGATCCGCGCTGTCGGAAAGCCAGTATCGTTCGTGGCCGAACGGTCTACGTGGTGTCAGAGACCAACGCAGAGGTGGTCACGACAGGAGCGAACCGTCCGTTGGGACTGCCCAGATTTCTCAGATGCCGGGAGAGGGGCGTAGAGTAGCGGTAGCGGTAGCTCCTTATCCTCTCTTTAGCGTTCGGTTGGGATGTTTTGTGAGATGGCAGGGTGCCCGTGGTCTTTTCTGTGTTTTGTGCGGTTGCGCTGTCATGCGAAGCCGCCACCGCGTTCGTGCGGCGCCCGGGGGAGGGCCTGGGGGGGCGCCAGCCCAGGCCTCCCAGGTGGGGTCCGAGTAGATGGGGCCGGAGGTCGGAGCGGTATCGGCGATGCGGCTCGATGTAGATCCAGATGTTCTTCACGCTGTCGGCGCCGATGTGTCGCCGACGTCGCCGATGCATCGCGATGCATTGGTGGTGCGGCCCGATCCTCTCACCCCTTCTGCTCGGACCCCATCTGGCAGGCCTTCAGCCAGGGCGGGTAGGTTCCGTGGAAGTTCATACCCAAGCAATGTTTGCTGGAATATTGTTCATCGTGATTTGGTGAAACAGAACAGCGCGTGTGGGGCTTGATGCGTCGGGGTGCCAACTCTTCTTCGCAAGGGACACCAGCCAATCCATGCAATTGCGGTGGCGGACTTCCTAAAGTGGGCTCGGCTCTGTGCGGATCAGTCACACTCGTGTTCCCATTCGAGTGCGTGTGTTTGTCCAGAGAGGTGGTGTTTGGGGGTGAGCTTGCGGGTGCGGTGGAAGAGTATGTGTGTCCAGAGTCACACAGGAGATGGTATCGTGGGATTACCTTTGAAACGTGCTTTTCATATTGCACTCGGTTCTGTCACATATGAAAAGTCACAGCGGGCGTTGCTCTGTCGTGTAGACGCGGCGGACATGGAAATAGAGTGCAGACCGATATACATGTAGATATATATATATATATAGAGAGAGAGAGAGAGACCTTGTAGTTCGGGAGCGTACCTTGGGCTGGAGGTTTGCTGGCGGCGTGAAGGAGTTCTTTCCCGAGGCAGTGATGCTCCCTTGTGGTTGCCGCCGCTGCCTCGCATCGGTTCCTCGCTCCGCCTGTGTCACGCTGCCGCTTTTCGCGCCCATCCTTCTGCGGAACCACCCTGTCTTGGAATTGCTCATTGGTGAAGCCCACTTGCAAAGATGAGGACTACGGATTGAGATTTGACCCGCCTCACTGAAGGCAGGTCTTGAAGATTACGGGGTCGGCACCACAGAGGGGCCCACGAGCGAGGGAGGGCCGAAGGAACGATCGCGGTGCAAACCACGACGGGCCCGAGGGGGCCGAACGAGAACGCCGAACGGGTGGGTCCGAAGCAAAGGACCGCCAGCTCGAGGTTCACGATGCGAGGCGAGTTTGCTCGCCACGAGGATGGGGAGCAGGAGGTGCAGGAGGAGGAGGTGGTGTCAACTGGTCGATTGCACACGAAGTCTTCGAACGTACTCGATTTGAGGTCCGACATCTCTGTCAACTTCTCCTCGCCTGCCTCCAAGCTATCGCCCAGCGTGCCCAGAGGAAGTAATCGCGTCTTTTGACAAGTGTGAGAGACCCATCGAACTGTGACGAGCCAGACCAGCGCCCAAACACATATCAGATTGAGGGGCTAAACCAAACGGCCATTCACTGTCCCTGGGTGCGTGGCTGAGGTGGAATTCCGCGATGCGGATTCTTGTTGATGTTGTTGTGGTTGTTGTTGTTGGTGGTGTTGTTGGTGTTGTTTGTTGTTTGTTGGTTGTTTGCTGTTTGTGGTTGTCGTCGTCCCACCCGCGACCCGCCCCGCGACCCCCCCGCGACCCACCCCGCGACCCACCAGCGACCCACCCCGCGACCCACCCGCGACCCACCCGCGACCCACCCGCGACCCACCCCGCGACCCGCCCACGACCCACCCCGAGACCCCCCCGACGACCCACCCGCGACCCACCAGCGACCTACCCGCGAACCACCCGCGACCCACCCCGCGACCTACTCGCGACCCACCCGCGACCCACCCGCGACCCTTGTGCAACCCTCCCGCGACCCACCCCGCGACCAAACCAAAATTTTCGGCGCCTGCGGCGGGTTTCTTTTGCATTCGTTCCAGGTGGAGAACCTGCGACCCACCCGCGACCCAAGCCGCATTCAGTATACAAATCAGAGTTTTCGGCGCCTGCGGCGGGCTGTCTTTGAATTCCTCCCAGGTGGAGGTGGAGAACCCGCGACCCACCCGCGACCCAAACTACGTTCACTGAACAAGCCAAAACTTCGGCGCCTGCGGCGGGGGCTGAACCGAACGGTCATTCACTGTCCCTGGGTGCGTGGCTGAAGTGGAATTCCGCGATGCGGATTATTGTTGTTGTTGGTGGTGGTGTTGTTGTTGCTGCTGCTGTTGTTGTTGCTGTTGTTGTTGGTGTTTTTGTTGGTGGTGGTGGTGGTGATGGTGGTGGTGGTGTTATTGCTGCTGTTGTTGTTGTTTTTTGTTGGTGCTGTTTGTTGATTGCTGTTTGGTGTTTGTTGTTTGTTGTGTGTTGTGTGTTGTTTGTTGTTGCTGTTTGTTGTGTGTTGTTTGTTGCTTGCTGTTTGTTGTTGTCGTCGTCCCACCCGCGACCCGCCCCGCGACCCACCCGCGACCCACCCGCGACCCACCCCGCGACCCACCCGCGACCAACCCCGCGACCCACCCGCGACCCACCCGTGACCCGCCCGCGACCCACCCCGCGACCCGCCCGCCACCCACCCCGAGACCCCCCCGGCGACCCACCCGCGACCCACCCGCGACCCACCCGCGACCCATCCGCGACCCCCCCCGCGACACACCCGCGACCCACCCGCGACCCACCCGCGACCTAACGCGACCCTTGTGTAACCCACCCGCGACCCACCCCGCGACCCACCCGCGACCCAAACCGCGTTCATTGTACAAATAAAAATTGTCGGCGCTTGCGGCGGGCTGTGTTTGAATTCCAGGTAAAGGTGGAGAGCCCGCGACCCACCCGCGACCCAAACTACGTCACTGAACAAGCTAAAATTTCAGCGCCTGCGGCGGGTTTCTTTTGCATCGGCGACCCATCCGCGACCAACCGGCGACCCACCCCGAGACCCACCCGCGACCCACCCCGCGACCCACCCGCACCAGCGACCCACCGCGACCCACCCGCGACCCACCCCGCGACCCACCCAAGATTTTCGGCGCCTGCGGCGGGTCCACCCGCGACCCAAGCCGCGTTCAGCGTACAAATTCAAATTTTCGGGCGCCTGCGGCGGGGCGGCGACGGCGACGGCGACGGCGACGGCGGCGGCGGCGACGGCGACGGCGATGGCGGCGGCCGCGGCGGCGGCGGCGGCGGCGGCGACGGCGACGATGACGAGTACGAGGACGAAGAGGAGGCCGACGACGAGGGCGAGGAAGAAAAGGAGGGGGGGACGGAGGGAGACGACGAGAAAGGAGGGAGGAGGACGGGGAGGAGGACGAGGACGACGACGGAACGGAGGAGGGGGGAGGGTTCGGGATGGTGGAGGAAGGGGAGGAGGAGGAGGAGGAGGAGGAAAAAGAGGAAGAGGAGGAGGAGGAGGTGGAGGAAAAGGAGGCCGACGACGACGACGATGAGGACGCGGACGAGGAAGAGGAGGAGGAGCAGGAGCAGGAGGAGGAGGAGGAGGAGGAGGAGGAGGAGGGCGCCATCGACAGGGAAGGTGAGGGCCACGAGGTCCGCCGGCTCGACGCCCGCGTCGCTCGCGCCCGCCCCCTCACTTTTATCCGCAATTGCGGGGTGCTGCGTCTATGATACAATGCTACATTGCCTGCCCCCTGCTACTTCACAGGCTAGCGTGCTGAAGCAGGGAAATGGAAAGGAGAAACTGCAACACGTAGTGACAAAAGCTTTCGAAACCAGTTGGGTGCGGCAGTTCGGCCAACTCCTCTTGAAACCTTCTTGAGGAAGGTTTCAGGACGGCTTGTAGGAAGACTTTTCCAAACAAGCCCTCCTGAATGAGGTTTAAGGACGGTTTTAGGAAGGCTCTTCCAACACAAACCCTCCTGAGGAAGGTTATAGGAAGGTTGTGTAGCAAGCTTCGACGTCGAAGCCGCTGGCACTTCCGCGCTCCACTTGTTCGTCGCCACCGCCGTCGTCGTAGTTGGGGCATTCGTCATCCTCACCCCAGTATGCTTCCTCCTGGTAGTCGTCCTCGTCGTAGTACTCGTCCACCTGGTAGCCTGCAGCTCCAGAGCTCGCCCGCTCGACGGCAGCGAGTCCAGGCCGAAATTTACCTTCAGTTGGTCCTCGACCTTGTCGAGGGTGAGGCTGTCCCTGATAGGTTTCATGATGAGTTGCTTACCTCCCTTGTCCAGCCCAGCTCGCCGAACGAGAAACCACCCCAGCACCTGGTCCAGGAGTGAGATACTGTGAGTCTGATTGTTCTTTCCGCTATGCGGAAATTCGTCGAATAGTCTATCAGGGGTTTTCCCGGATTGCTAGCCACACGGAAAAGAAACTATTGAAGTCGGTCGGCAGTTCCGTCATTTGGTCGTACATGCGCACACTATCCAGAGTTTCCAGTATAGTCATCCAGCCTTCCTCGTCCTCGATCGCCTTAATGTATAAATCCTCCACTGCGTCCCATTCTTGGTCCCGCAGGCATTGCATGTTCTCGAGACCGACGAGCTTCTCTTATCTTACCTCGAGCCCTGGCTGTGTAGATCTCCGCCTTCTTCCTGAAAGCCTGGTGGTTCCCGAGAGGGGCCATGAAACTCGGGTGCCCGACCAGAATACTATGGAGTGTCGTCATCTTTACTCTTGGATCATTTGCCGCCCGTGGGCGGTCCCATCTTGTCGTGTCCGTGGAGTCATACCTCCGATACCAATGTCAACGATTCGATCGCACAACAAATCGTCGAACATACTCGATTCGAAATCCGACATCTCTGCCAACTTCTCCTCGCCTGCCTCCAAGCTATCGCACTGCGCGCCCAGAGGACGTAATCGCTTCTTTCGCCAAGCGCGAGAGGCCTTTCGAATTGTAGCGAGCCAGAACAGCGACCAAACCCGTATAGCTGATGTAACACTACACTGCCTGCTCCCTGCTGCTGCACATGTTGAAACGGGGAAAGGGAAGAGGGAAGCTGCAAGACATAGTGCCACAAGCCTCCGAACACACAAGTGACGTACATTGTATGGAGCACAATTCACAGGAGGAGGCGCCGGTGAGACCCTAAGATCCGACGTCGCAAAAAAGAAGCGGGATCGTAAAAAGTTGTGGTCGGAGCCTTCGAGCCCACATCACCACGGCATCCCCCGAGCCAGATCGATCCGTGAAGGCCCTGGGGCCCGACGCCCGAAGCAAAGAAAATGCAATGCCTGGATCCCAATGCAGGGAGGTCCCTCAGAGCTTGACGATGATTCTCCACTTAGTCTGCGGGGGGGTACTGACCAATGCACGTCTATGCGAGCCCATATAGGTCGCGGTAAACCGAGGCAGACAAGGGGGTCCCTGCACGAGCCTGGGTGAACCGAGCGAGTTCCAGCGCGAGCCGAGGAGCAGCCGGAGTCCCTAAGCCCTGAGTGGGCGAGGAGGGCGCCCTTTCCCCCCTTTCCCCCGCGCTTGGGCGTCGCCAGAGGGATCGACCTCAACGTTATCTTTGCGATCTCGTTGACCGTGTTCGCTTCGACTTCGTTCGTCAGCAAGGGCTGAGCGAAGGCGGAACGAGCTCTCGACCACGAACCAAACTATACCACCCCACCTACGACCCGCTGGGCCGTAGGTGGGTCGTGGGTGGGGTGATGTGGTAGGTGGGTCGCAGGTGGACAAGCGTGAACATCGCTGGGTCGTACGTTGGGTGCTGTCGCCTACTTTGTGGTCCAGCGAGGGAAAGCAGAAGCAACGCGAGAACGACAAACATTGCTTGCGCAGGTCGAGCCTTGCGTCGCCAGAGGCGTCCCGGACTGGAGGCGCCCCAAGGAGTTCCAGGGAGGTCTTTTCGGGCCTCCAGAGCACCCCTTCACGAGGCCCAGGGGGCCCAAGGGAGTCCAAGCTCGAATGTTACCAGAACCGTGGTTGCGGCGTCGGCGGTTGAGCCGGCGTGCAAAGAGATAACATCCGAATACGCATTCGAAGTTTCCAACCACCACATCATTTCGTAACCCCGAATGATAGCTCGCGGGGCGGGGGTCGTGCGTGGGCCGTCTGCAAAATTAGCCAAACACCACGCAGATTACGGAATGGTGGTTGGGTCTGTTAGGGAAATCATATTTGCACGGGCAGTTAGCAGCAATCACTATCGCACTGGCCAGGTCGTTCATCCCAGAGCCTCGGGTCAGGACCACAGCAGGAGGAGGGCCAGTTGAGACAGTCGAGACAACGACAGCTCTCCCGCGTGGCCCAAATCCAATCAAAATAATTTCCTGGACACCTCCAAGGGTCTATTCTGATCCGTTTTCCAATGCGGGTCAAGCCGTTCCCCAGAAGGACGACACACGTCAGGGAAGGCCGTTGTTGTCTCGACTGACCTTCTTCCGAGTAACCACCATCGCACTGACCGCCAAGTCGTCCATTCCCCCAAGATGGCGCTAAAAGACAGGGGCACGTCTGGCATTTTGTTGTCAGCGGCGACGTGAAGCCACGATGTGCTAGACAGTGACAGCCAGGACGGCAGCTAACTGCGCACCAGTGCCAATGGAGGAGCAGGAGAGCGGTCGCGGAGAAAGCCCAAGGAGGGAGCCGCACTCAGCCAACCTTTCAGGGGCAACGTTAGGGGTGGGATAGACTAGGGGGGAGGCATCGACTCCCGCGCGCCCAATGATCGCCGATAGGGGCCTGATAGTCGAATCCGCCCAGGACTATGTGGTTTCGCTACCGGGGGCCTATCGCCGATCTGTCGGCGACGTATCGCCGATTACAGGTCGATGTTTCCCCCCCCCCTGAGCCAGTCCCCCCTACCATTCCCCTTCGTCGTCAGACTCGATGCTCAGGACGTGTGTTGGCCCAATGCGTGGTTACCCTGTTCAGCTCAGCCGATAGCACGCAGCCCGTGTCTGCCCTCACTGCATACTTGTGTCGCATCGAAGAGCTTCTTAGACACGTTCTGATGGTCACCGGTAGACCTATCCCCACCTTCACTGGGGAAACCTTGGTCCCGCTGTCCGACCTGCCCCCGCAGGTGAGCACAGATGCCCTCGCCTGACCTGGACCCCCGACGCCATGATGTCGTTCACCACGTCGACACCCAGAGGTACGACCCTTCCCGGGGACCGGTGCTTCATCCCGAGTTGTTTTCTGACGGTCCTGGGGCCCGGCGTGGGCACCCATATAGAGGCCGAAGGCAGCCAAGGATCGCCGTCCTCAGTTTTGTCAGCACGCTGCAGGTCTGCAGGGTACCCTCGCAGGTGGGGCACAGGTGCCCCCTCCTGGTGTCCAGTGTTCCCCCTCAACTGGCAAAGCTTCGGCGCACAGACAGCCCCCCGAGGTAGTCCCGGCGGGCCTCAACGGGCCCCCCGAGCAGTCCCAGCTGGCCTCAACGGGCCTCCCGAGGAGTCCGGGGCGGTCGCCCCAGGAGCGCAGATAGAGGCTGCCCCGGGTGGCGTGATGAGGCCAGCTGTGACTATTCGGTGGGCCCGTTGATGTCAGCCAGGGCTACCCGGGGGGGACGACTGTGCGCAGCCCGCAGCCTTACAACCCCCAACCTTCGACGTGGGCGATGCATCGGCGATGAGGCTCGATCCTCCGACCCCGCCTACTCGGGTCCAGTGTGAGAGGCCTCCAGTTCTTAGGCGTCCGATCGTGAACCCTTTTGTTGAATGCAACCACCCAGCTCTCGCACCGCAAACCGCCAGATACCGCCAGACACCATCGACGAGCGTCAAAAGACCGCCAGAGACCGCCGAAGACCGCCCATAAAACCGCCGAAGACCCCCAGGGCCGATAGGCAACAATGGGTCCATGGTCGAACACGAATCAGTTCCTTTCAAGGCTCGAGCTAAACGGTGAGTTGGCAGCAAAGGCGGAACGAAGACAGAACGTGGAGCAACGAAAACAAAGCTATAACGTAAAACACGAAACGTGTGATGTGTGTGTGTGTGTGTCGAAATGGAGGCATGCGGAGGGCGGAGGCAGGGATGGGAGGCGGGACGGGGGCAGCGGGAGGGGTGGAAGCGGGGCGCCGCTTGTCAACACGAAGACACAACACCACAGGATGGCTGAAAACGACAACAGAAGGTCGAGCCTCTGACAGCACCCCAGGCCTCCCGCCGCGCCCGCAAGGCCACCGCGCCGCTGTGGGGCACCGCCGCCCCCGCCGCCGCCCCGCTGCCCGAGGTGAACCCCGCGGCGCCGGCCGCTGGCGCCGGCGGCGCCCCCTCGGGGACGACGAACTTGAAGCAGTAGCGAGCTCGGGGGGAAGTGCGAGAGGGGGCGGGCCTGCTCAGAAGGCTTGGAAGGCCTTGGGCCTTCTGAGAAGTTCTCTGAGCCATCCCCGAAGGCAGAGGAACTTTTTTCAGAAGTCGCGAGGGCTTCCGAGAAGCCTCGCCACCTTCTGAGAAGGCCTTCTGCTTCTCACTTACCCCTCGGGCGCACCGCCAATCCAAGCAGTGGCGAAGCGTCCTGACTTGCTTGATAAACATAGGCCCACCCAGTTTGAAGCCAGCTGGGGGCTTCAGGTAGCCCAGCATTGATTCCGGCCAGCAGGAGGGGGGGCGGGGTTCGCGTTGATGGGTTCGGGCAGATTTTCTTTGTTTGACTGCCTTCAGGAGCCGTTGTCAGGTCCCAGGGCCGTCAAGAACGGATCCAAGGTGAAGAATTGCACCAGATGGACCCAGGGAGGGGTCTTGCCAGGGACAGATTTTGAGCTCATTTGGCTTCATCCTCCCTCCTGGCCGGCTTCCTGGGGCCCCAACCAGTTCAGACCGCCCGGCAACCTCCAATATGTATCTTGACTTGCCTACAGGCGCTACAGGCCATCCAGGAATGTTCGAAGAACCTTGTTTGTTTTACACTGGGTGTTCACAGATGTATGTTCTAGAAACATGGTTTGTTGTTGTTCGGAACTCCGCTAGACATAACATGTTTTCGTGGAAGGCCTCCAGGAATGCCGGGACGGTTGGTCCCTGCTCAATCGGGGCGGACGACGAATTCTCGACTTTATTGGAATCAGCGAAACTGAAAGTCCAGGCCTCTCAGAAAGGGTTGGAGTACATCTGGTCGAAGGATCGTGCAGTATCGCTGATGCATCGGCGACGCGGCTTGATGTGGAGCCGTGGAGTCCGATTTTCTTCACGTCGGCGCCGCTGACGCACCACCGACGTCGACAATGCATCACCGATGCATCGTCGATGTATTGACGATGAATCAGCGATGCGGCGTGTTCATCCGACCTCGTCTACTCGGACCTCATTTGGAGGCCTCTACTCTTGGCACGATCGAAATGAGCGACGCAGAACAGCGGGTTCGACTTCGCGGATATTCCATCAAATGTGTGTTCACAGCGGGCGTTTTCGCCAGGCTTCGGGCCCTGGGACTCTCACGGATCGAACCGGCTCGAACAACGAAGGTCCAGGGCTTTGGTCATGATTTGTCGCGATCGATCCGATTCGATATCAATCTTGGCCGGCCCGATCCGATCCGATGTCCCGTCGCCGTTTTGGTTGACCTTGCCTCTCGTCCGATCCGAGGGTTGCACCCTGAGGGAGGGGGAACTACGAATAATATCCGTAAGATATGAGTTGACATCGTTCGCGCGGCGATGATCCACCGTGTGAACCCGACGCAATCTGACCTGAACCCAACGTATATCCGACGTGAGCGATGCATAAAAGCGGGTTCGATTTCGTGGACATTCGCGCGTATTTTGCCAGCGGAAGGTCGCGCGTGAGCGCCCCCGTTTCCAGTGCAGCGTGCCGCCTTGGCGGCCAGCGTAAGTCACCTCGTAAGGTCGCTGTGTCATCTCACGTAAGCCCCGTTGTTTTTCGTCGCGCAAACATTGCTGGAACGAATGGGGACGATGATTGACAGCAGTTCCTGTCTGGAGCCGGCTGGGAGGGTGAGGCGGCCCAGCACCTGGCTCCAGCCAGCAGACGTGGACAAAAAGGGCCCCCGTCGTCGCCAAGGCTGGACACGGCTCGAAGAATTAGTCCGTTTCGATCCCTGGAGGGGTTTGGTGACGGATTTTGACCTGCTTTGGCCTTGTCTCCTTCCCTCTTGACCGACTTCCCGAGGGCCCATGCAGCACAGACCCAGCCGCTTCCAAGTTCTTGTCCATTCTGAACAGGACTCGCTGCCAGTGTCGTCGCGGGTGTGGTTATTTGGAGAATGTTGGAGACACATTTTCAGCCTGCCCAACAGCGGCCGCCATCGGTCTTGGGCAACACTTGCTGTTGGGTATCGCGACCATGTTTTCAGGACGATGCATGACGATCCAATTGTCGCAGCATTGTCCTGAGATTGACGTGCATGCGGGTCTGATCCCCCCCCAACCGCGGGACCATACCTGCACGCATGCAGGTCTGATCTGTCGTCCTCTTATCATCTTTGCCCCTGTATTGATCCTCGTGCTCACCGTCATCCTCGTCATCATCGGATCCGTCATCACCGCCATCATCATTATCATCATCCTCACCCTCATCCTCACCCTCATCACTGGATGTGTCTTATCACCGTCAGCATCGTCATCACTGTCATCACCGCCATCATCCTCATAGCCATCAGTGTCAGTGCCGTCATCATCGCCATCCTCGTCCTCAGCGCCAGCATCGCCATCAGTGGGTGTATCTCAAACCCAACGGTTGCCCCGCGCGCTCTTGGGCACCCGCGTTCGGCCGCCCCGTTCTGCTGGAACGCCGGCTTCCAGCCAAGCGCTGCCCATGCATGCCCGGTTGACGATGAGGCGCGCGCAATGAATTGAGCGTTGGAAAGATGACAATGGCGAGCATTGGATAGATGATACGGCGCACCGCTCTCTCTAGCGCACCGCCTCGCCACCGCGCCCGACTATGCAAGAGGGTAACGCTCAAGCCGCGTATCTTTGAGCATCCCGTGCCATTCCGAAGCCGCGCCCTTTGGTACGGTCGGTTGTCACTGTGGCCCTCCGTCGCCATTTCCTCGCGCACCTTGCGGCACGCTCACGACTGGAAGACAGCCGTGGAGCTGCTCGTCGCAAGCTTGGCCTCGACGAGAGTCGAGCGGCCCCGCCCGCGTGCCGGGGCAGGCCTGCTTGCCCCGCAGTCGCCGCCGCGCGCGAAGTGCGCGCGCCAGGGCCGCCAGGGCAGCGGCTGGGCGCTTCCTGGGCGCCGCCCCCTCCGCTGGGTCGGCGGCATTGGCTGCGGGGCGGCGCTTGACCGCCGCGGCCCTGAGGTGCTGATCGTGCGCGGCCCCGATCCGCTCTTCCAAGTCCCTGACGGGCGCAGCTGCGACGCTGGGTGGCACCACGGCAGCCTCGCCCTCGCCTGTCCTCCACACGCCCAAGTCAGCGCGGGGGCCGATGCCACCCTTGCCCAGGCTGCCGAAGCTGTTGATGACGACGTCAGCGTGCGAGGCCCGATCGATGGCTGGTGGGCTGGCGGCCCGCTCCTGCTTCACGTTCTCTTGTTTCATGCTCCTCTTGCCTTCCTCGTCATCGCTCTTCTCGTGTTTCGGTTTCGTGGCCGAGTGAGTGGCGCGATGTTCCGTGGGGCGATCTGATCCCTGTTTCCTTGGCAGCGCTGCTCAAGGACATGGACGCAGGGTCGCGCTCTCTCTCTTCGTCTGCCCAGCTCTGCACTTGAAAGGCATTAGTGTGTCAAACCCCTCGGATCCGCGCAGCCCGTTCCCTGGGCCTCTTAATGTGTGCAACGACGCAGCATGCGCATGCGAGCGGCGCTCGCGCGTCTATGTCTCTTCAGAGCGAGCACAGCTCGCTATGTCATCCATACTAGACAATACCACCACCCCCGCCAAATATGTCACATGCGACGTGCGACAGCACCATGGATGTCCACTGGTTGAGGCAGCGACTCGCCGCGCGCGACCGCGCGGTTGTGCTCGCCCATTTGGTCGACGGCGTCGTACTGGATGACGCTCGGCAGCGCGGCGTCACGAGGGCAATGCTTGTTGTAGTCGTTGATCGTCGACCGTATCGCCCCCTTATGTCTCAATGCCTCCTCGCGGCTGAACGGCGCGTTGAGGCCGCGCGATATCGCCGCGACCCGTCGATGGCACGCCGAACAGCGGGCAGCGTCGTCCACCGGTCAAGTGAACCAGCACAGGAGTTGGGTTTCTACCGTCTCGGAGCGCGGGAATTGGAGACGAAGGTCGAGACGTTGGAGGAGAACCTGAAGCAGGGCGAGGCTGCCCGCGCCACTTACGGACGTGCTGACCCGTGGGAACACGACCAGACAATTGCAGCGCACATGGCGCGGATGAGGACTTTGGGGAAGAAGCTGGATGGGGCAGGAGACGCCAACCTGTGCACATAGGCTCCCGGCCAAGCATTCGCAGGTTGGCTTCCAGCCGAGCAGACGCGTGCGAGCATGTGCGCGCACGCGCATATATATATATATATATATATATATGTATGTGTGTGTGTAGGCTTTCTGCCGAAAGCATCAAAGCATCTTTACCGTCACCATCGTGATGATCACCATCGTCATGATCATCAGCATCATCATCATCAGCATCAGCATCATCATCACCATCATCATCAACATCATAATCACCTTCATCTTCATCTTCATCTTCATATGCATCATCACCTCCAGGGCGAAGCTGAGGAACAAAAAGGATAATACGTGCATGCGCACAGGTCTGAACGTGTGACCTTGGAGCACTGACTCGCGACCGTTGGATCGTCATGCATCGCGCCCGTTTCGGGCGCGCCAAACCTCATGCCTGCCGAGGGGGGCGGGGGTGGTGGCCCAACGGGGGAAACATCGGCCGCCAATCGCGCAGTCATCCCCAATCGGGGCCTGGGTATCCCGTTCCGCCCGACGGCGTCCGGTTTCGCTACCGCGGGGGCCGATCGCCGATCGATCCAGTCCCACCCCATCGCCCCCCTCTGGGACAACGACCACGACGACAGGTGACAATGACGCCCCCGAGGTTCGAGAATTGAGGTTTCGGGATGTTTTGGGGGTTTCCCGTGGCCTCGGGGATGCCTCTCGCCGCCACGGCTGGAATCCTTTTCGAGGCCCTGGCCAGAACGCGCCCCTGGACAGGTACGGGGGACGATCGTCCGATTCCCGGCCCGGACCCTGGCGAAAGGATGTTGTTGGTCGTTTGGTGTTGTTGGTTATGATGGTGGTGGAGATGATGACGGTGACGATGGTGACGACGACGATGGGGCGATGGTGATGATGGTGATGATGAGGATGATGATGATGATGATGATGATGATGATGATGACGAGGAGGAGGAGGAGGAAGAGGACAAGGAGGACAACGATGGTGATGACGATGAAGGCGATGAGTTCCCCAAGAGGCGCCGAGCGAGCCAACGCGCCCGCCGGCCCCGCGCTGCAGACGTGGCTCTCGGCCAGCGGGCTCGGCGCGAGCCGGGACCCGCTGGCTGCCTCTCTGGCGCCGTCGTCGTCCGCGCCGTCGTCGTCCCCACACTTTGAAGAAGAATAACAAGAAGAAGAAGAAGAAGAAAAAGGAAAATAAGAAAAAGGTGAAGAAGCAGGAGGAGGAGGAAAAGAAACACAAGAATGACAAACACAAAATCAGTCATAAGAAGAAGCGTAGTAAAACAGTCATACACAAATTCATAACTTTCTAATTGTAGAAAAGATTATAACAATAATGATACGAAGAACAAAGGAGGAGGAGTACAAGACACATAATGATAACAATAACAGGAGGAGCCACATCAATAGTTATAATACCAATAATACTGTTATTACTAGTAGCAAGAATTCGAAGCATACGAATAATAATATGAAGAACAAAACAAGGGCAACGCAAAGGTGAGAAAGGCTCAGGGGCAACACAAGAGGGAATAAGAGCAGGGAGGGGCGTTTCGGGTTCGAGGATCGAAATTTTCTGGCGTTTTGGGCGGCGCAAGGCGGTTTTCAGGCATCCGGGTGCGTTCCAGCACTTGCGCCTCGCCGAGAGCTTTCCGGGGGCGCCCGGATTGTGCCAAACGGCTGATCGGGACCCGAGTTAGGGCCCGAAAACCGAAGCCCGAATGAAGGGCAACGCTGAGAGGGAGAGGCTCAGGATGCGATGCATCGACCCCCGATCGCACACTGATCGCCGATAGGGGCCTGGTAGCCACAACTTGCACAGGAATGTGCGGATTAGCTATCGGGGGCCTATCACCGATCCATCAGCGACCCCCTGGCGCAGAGCGACTAACGTAAAAGGCGGGATGCTGAGCAGGCGATGCGCCGCGTCTTTCGGCGCCCCGCAGGTGAAGGAGGCTTGGGTCGGCGAGGCCCCAGTTGGCAGCCTGGGGACAAAGGTTCAACCGCTAGGCGGTTTGCGAACGACGGGGCGTCCCCCGCCGCCGCAGCCAGGCCCCGATGACGCGTGGCCGCGCGGGGAATCGGGCTGGCAAGGAATGGGTCCATGGACAATGTAGAGGCCCATAAACAGGCGTGCGTGGCACTGAGAAGGTCATGCAACGCATGAGCGGGCATAGCCCCGTCAGGCGTGGGCGCGGGGCGGAGGGGCGCGACGGCGTCTCTCGCGCGGTGGAGGCGTTGCGCGAGCAGCCCCTGCTGAAAAGGTGAGGGAGCGGGCCTGGTGGGTGAGCGCGGAGAACTGGCGGCGCAGGGAGTCGTGAGACTCCCGTAGCTCAGCGGCTCGGCCTTGGGCCAGGCTCGGAGCGCGAAGAAGGCTGCTGGCAGCAGCTCTGCTGGCGAGGCGCGTGGCCAGGTCAGCGCGGCGATCGGTGCTTCGCGCGGGCGCCGGTTCGGCCGCGGGGCCGGGGGTAGTCAGCGCCGCGAGGTTCCGTCGGCCAACGGCGGCCCCTTCGTCCGCCTTGTCATGGGGCGGGCAGGGGTGGATGGATGGCCCGGGTCGGGGGCGCGGCGGCCAGCCGCACCTTCAGCGGAGGGCCCTCCCTCTACCTAGGTCAGTGGAGTGCTCGTGCTTGGGAGGGGGGCAGCAGGCCCCCAGCCCCCAGCCCAGCGCGGACTCGCACGTTGGGTTCAGGGCGCGAGACGCCGACGAGGGCGACTGCGTCCAGGTGCGTGCGCCAGGCTCCGCAGCTGAGGCAGGAGCGTCCGCGCCCTGGCATCGCGGGGGGCGGCGAGGTGCAACCGTTCGGTCGCGGGCCGCGCCCGGGGCCTGGAGGGGGCAGTCGGCGGCGGCCGTGCTGACCAAATGCGCGTCGTGGCTGGCGCGGCCGTCAGTGTCTCGCGCGGCTACCGGTTCGGTCTCGGGCTCATCAGTGGGCTTCGCCGCGTTAACCGCGCGCCTGACGGGGGGGCGCCTGGTCGACGCAGTTTGGCCCGGGCGGGGGGCGAAGGCCAGCCCCGCTTCGGAAATGGCGACCGTGGCCGGCCCCGCCTCGGAGGGGCCTCTAGCCTGGCCGGCAGGGGCTCCGTGTTCAGAGGTGACGCAGCGAGCGCCCAACCGTTCCGGGCGCGCCGTTCGCGGGCCAGGGGCGCCAGGTGCTGGCGAGGGCGATTTTGCCTTTTTCAGCGCGTCGGGCCCTGACCTCGGCTCGGTTCCGCAGCAGCGAGTTTGGGCCCCCGTCGCGCCCGGCGCCCCCAAACGCAAGAAGCGCCTCGGCGACGTCGGGGCCAGCGCCACACACCGGGTCAACGACGGCGCTATGGCGCGGGGGCGGCGGGCCCGATTTCCCCAGTCTCGGGTAGCCGTTGGCGGTCGCGGGGGGCGATCGTAGCGGGCGTGGGTTCTGGTCAGCTTGTCCAGATGAGCGTTTGTGAAGCCTGCTCGTCTGCGGGGTCGCGGAGGGCGCGGCGCCGCTCGTCGCGCGCGGCGATGGCGACGCTGCGCGGCGCGACGGCGAAGCGGCGGCGTTTCGTAGATTCGCCATGCAGACGCCCAAGCAAGAGGAACATTATGTTCTGATGTGTTTCCCGTTGGAAATTCAGTTTATTCGTTCTATTCCATGTATTCAAATACTTGATTTATTCAAATATTAGGTGCAGTGTTTTCCTTTTGCGTTCGCAAGTACGGCTGTTGGGTGCTATGATCGCCCTTTATGGATTGTTTCTGCATTCGTTGTGCGTGCCTCTCCCGGTTCCGCGAGATCTCCAGCGCTCCATGCGTTTCATCTCTTGTCCTTCGATTCGGCTCGAGCCAGCCAATGGTTTGCCGCGGTGTCGCCGCGGCGCGCCGCCGCGCCGCGGTGGCCCGACCGTTCCTGGGGGGGCAGCGATTGGCGACGGGGCCGGGGCGACTGGCCCAGCGGCGGCCAGCCCTGGAGCCAGCGAGGAGGCGGCGGAGGCGGGAAACCGGGAGCCGCGGCAGCGCGCAACGGCAGTGGAAATGGAAGCGGGGGCGGCGGCGGGGCGGGGGCGGCGGGGCGGCCCCTTCAGGCGGCGCGGCCGCGGCGGGGCAGGCGCGCCGCGCGCGACCGCGCGCCGCGCGGCGGCGGCGAGGGGCCGCCCGTCGAAGCTCCGCCGGCGCCGCGCTCAGCGGCGCGGCGGCGGGCGATGATGGATGACGAGAGGAAGTTGAACGAGAATTGCGTTGTCGTCGGTCGTCGGTCGCGCGCATCTGGCGGTCGGCGTCTCATGGCACGTCGCGTCGTCGTCGCGTCGAAGCGGCGCGCGACGGCGCCCGCCCCCTGCCCCGCCGAGGCCCCGCCGCAATTGGTTCGGCGGCGCGCGAGCCATGGGGGAAGGCCAGCAGCTGCCGACGGGGCCCCGCCCCCCAGCCGCCCGCGGCGGAGAGGCCCGGGGCGGTCGCGGCCGGCCCCGCGAGGGAGCGCGCCGCTCGCGAGGAGGATTCCGCAAGCGCCCTCCTCTGGCGCTGCAGATGGCGCCGCTGGCGCGCCAGAAGGACACTTCGAATCTGCCCCGGCCGCCCGCCGCCCTCCTCTGATCCGACCCCGCTGTCGAAACGATCGGCGCCAGGCGATAGGCGCTCGACCCGAACCTCCTCGATCCGACTCCTTGTCGATCGAATTTCGTCGATCTAGACCTCGTCGGGCCGTCGTCTCCCCGATCTCCCCCGTCGCCCCTCTGTTCGCAGTCGCCCGTCTCCGCGGGCGGGGCAGAGCGCGGGCGCGTCGCCGCGGGGGCCCGCCAACCAGCGGGCGCCCGCCGACGTCGCCTCGAGGCGCAGAGGGCGGCGCGCGCCGCGACCGAGGAGGCGCCGCAGGGCGCCCGAGGCGCGCCCGAGCTGCTGCCCGAGCCGCCGCTGGGCGCGAGGTCGCCGACACGTCTCCAGAGTCGCCATCGCCCGAGGCGATCGACTGCGCGGATCGCGCCAGCGTGGCCATCCGCCCGCCCCCGCGGGCCGACAGGCGCGACGGCCCTGCGCCGTCGACGCCTCCGCGGCCGCAGCGCGCGGCGAGCGCGGGCCCTCGCGCGTCGAGCGCGCCGAGGCCGCCCCCGCGCCGCGCCCGGCGCTTCCGGGGGGGGGGGGGGGCGGTGGGGTGTGACTGGGCGCGGCTCTCGGCCACTCCCCGATGTCCTCCCCTTTCTTTCGGGCTGGTTCGGGTTTGGTTTCGCGGGGCCCTGATTGGGGTCTCTAGAACATGTTCGGGCATCTCGGGCCTCCTTCCCGGGGCCCCCAAGCGCGCGCCCGCTGCTGCGCGGGGCCGACTGGCTTGGGTTGTCTCGGGGGGGTGGGTTCAGAAGGGCGCGTTGGGCTCGCGATTGCTGGCCAGGGTGTCGCGCGTCTGGGGGCGCGCGGGGGGGGCGCTCAGTCTTGTCCTCGGGGGGCGCCCCGAGAAAAGGCGCGCGCGCCCGGGGCGGGCAACTCTGCGGGCTCGGGCGCCGCCCCGCGCAGTTCCGGGACAATGCTGCCCAAAAGAGGCGCGGCATCCCACGCGCGCTTCGAAGAATGAACCGCCCCCCCCCCCCCCCCCATTAGAACGGGGAGAAGCGGCGCGCGCAAACGCGGAAGAGGGGGGGGGAGAGATACATAGATAGATAGATATATATAGAGATAGATCGAGAGAGAGAGAGGAAACAAAAAAAAAAAAAAAAAAAAAAAAAAAGAGAGAGAGAGAGAGAGAGAGAGAGAGAGAGAGAGAGAGAGAGAGAGAGAGAGAGAGAGAGAGAGAGAGAGAGAGAGAGAGAGAGAGAGAGAGAGAGAGAGAGAGAGAGAGAGAGAGGAGAGAGAGAGAGAGAGAGAGAGAGAGGAGAGAGAGAGAGAGAGAGAGAGAGAGAGAGAGAGAGAGAGAGAAAGAGAGAAAGCGAGAAGAGAGAGAGAGAGAGGGGGCGAGAGAGAGAGAGAGAGAGAGGTAGAGGGCGGGCGAGAGAGAGGGAGAGAGGGAGAGAGAGAGAGACAGAGAGAGAGAGAGAGAGGGAGAGAGAGGGCGGGCGAGAGAGAGAGAGAAGAAGAAGAAGAATAAGAAGAAGAAAAAGAGAGAGAGAGAGAGAGAGGAACAAAAAAAACTATGATTGTTATGAGATAGACAAATATTATATATATACAATAATAATAAATGAGAGAGATAACATACAAAGAGAGAGAGAGAGAGAGAGATACATAGAGAGAGGCCCCACAAGAGAGAGAGAGAGAGAGAGAGAAAAGAGAGAGAGAGAGAGAGAGAGAGAGCGCGAGAGACAGAGAGAGGAACATTAGGAAGACGAAAGAGAGAGAGAGAGAGAGAGAGAGAGAGAGAGAGAGAGAGAAAGCGAGAGAGAGAGAGAGAGAGAGAGAGAGCAAGCGAGACATACAACCATGAGAGATTTAGGGCGGTTTCATGCGAGCGCGCGCGAGATAGATTGAAACGCGCGCTGGCCGCAGCCTTGGCCTTGCGACGCGCCTTTTTCTATGTGTGCATATATATATACATGCATCCATACATACATACATAAAAGCGCGGCCGTCTCTGTCTGTTTTGGCGCTCGCCAAAACGCACGGCAAGCTCATCAGTGCAAACCGAGCGCACTGCGTGGCCCGCGCGCTGGCACTGCTGCGATGAGCCGCGACCCATGGCCCATGGCGCACCGCATCAAATCGCACAACGCATGTGGTGCGAATGCTGTGTGCAACTGTTTCTAGGCGCGCAACTTACTGAGGCTGGGCGGACAGCGCGCTTGGCCGCGGGTGGCGCTCGAATTTGGGCATAACGCTGGTGGCGACGATTGCGGTGCCACACCAAGCGTCGCGTTCGGAGTTCACACTTTCCTTGTAAGGGGCGTCCCTGAAAAATAGTCCTGGGATGGTTAAACCAGGAACATTCACTCCTTTCATGGAAAACTGCCTTTTTAAACCTCTGAGAAGCTCACAGGGGCATCGCAGCTCACGACGTGCTGAAGTTGTCTCTTCAAGACATCACATTCCACATGACGCAGTAACCGTTTGCATGGACCTCTTCGAGCTGATCATTGGTGGCCGCGGCGCACCTTCCGACCATTCTCAACGAGTAGCCATCGTGGCTCTGCGAGAAGACAGAGTTCATTGCAGGATTCGTTGGCTGCTCCATGCACCGACATGGTCGATGCTGGCAGATGGACTCGCGAAGGAAGGTCGGTTCGATCTACTGATGCTTTGCGCCACCACCCGCAAGTGAAATATCACCTTGCTCGACGGCCAAGGAGTCAGGCACAGACGTGCCATGCTACACCCGGAAGCTACGGAGAAGGGCTTCAAGGCTACGAAGCTCGAGCGCGTCAATTTGCGTTGCAGTGGCTTGGAAAGACATCCCGAGATTCGCATGCACTGCGATGAGGAAAACTTGAAGGGGAACGAACTTTATCTCTCTCTCTCTCTCTTTTCTTTCTTCCTCATCCTCATGTGCTCTAGTGCCAGATTTGTCTCACGTGAGTTCAGGATTTAGGGCGCGCAGGACCAGCTCTTCCATCCAGCTTGGGATTAGAAATGCGGAGTCGAATGTCTTATTGTAACGCAGCGTAGCTAAGCATATTAGAACGCATAGCATCGAATGACCCAAAGATTCGTGGACCGCTTCACGACCTGCTAAAATTTTAGTTGGTCCAGGTATGCAAAAGGACGGGCATCGAAGTTGAGTTTCGTGTGTTTCAGAGGCTACCATACCAGTTTTAGAACCAAGCCAAGCGTTGATTCTATCATATGTAATAATTATGGCTCAAGCCATCAGATTTGACATCATCACAGGAAAAGTAACCGGCTTCCGGAATGGGAGGTGCAAGGGGGGCTAGCCATCCCACCCCCTTGGGCAAGGGAGGGAACGCGAAAGGGGGGGGGGGGGGCGAGCTTCCGAGGAGCGAGAGAAAAAATATAAACAGGGGGGGCTTCTGGCAAGGGAGGTGAGGGGGTAGCTAAGCCCCCCCCGCCTTTTTGGGAAAGGAGGGGGGGAGCTTTCGGAACGCGAGCAGGGGGGGTAGCTTCCGAGGGGCGAGAAAAACGAACAGGGGGGGGGGTCCCGCAGGGGGCGTTCAAGAGGGGGGCTAGCTAAGCCGCCCCCCCTTTTGGAAAGGGAGCGGGGGGGGTTCCGGAGCGCGAAAGGGAGGAGGGGTAGCTTCCGCAGGGTGGAAACAAAAAAATGGGGAGCTTCCCGGGCAGGGTGGGTAGCTAACGGAGGGCCCTGGATACCCGAACCCTACCCCACCAACCGTCGATTCTCCAGAATCGATTGGACGCGGTGGTAGGGCTCGTATTTCTCCACGTGTTCGACGAATGTCGAGCTCTACCCCCGCCGCCCATCGAACTGTCTTGTCTGAATAGTTGATCGACGAAGGTCGGGTTCGGAGGTCGCCGTTGAAACCCGACGCCACGCGAAGGCTTACCAGGGAGGCGCCTGCCATATCAGATGAGCGGCGCGCCCGGGGAGGACATCGGATGAGCGGCGCGCCCGGGGAGGGGGAACTGAGAAGGAACAGGCTTTCTCACAAGGTGGCGGGGCTTCTCAGAAACCACCGCGCCTTCTGAAAAGTTGCTCCTGGGCCTCTTCCGGGGACGCAGGAAACTGACCAGCAGGCGCGAGGACCTCCGAGAAGCCCCGCCCCCCTCCGAAAAGGCACCGCGCCTTCCCACTTCACCCCCGCGCGCGCCGCCGAAGGGAGGCGCCCGCCACCTTGGGGCGGGGCGGGCGGAGGGCGGGCGCCGAGGCCGACGCATCGCCGATCGGACCCCCTCCAACAGGCTTCTGCGCGCGCGACCCGGAGCCTTACCAAGGAAACGCCGGCCACCTCGGAGGGAGGGGGGGTCGCCTCCCTCCGAAGGGGGGGGGGGACGGAGGGCGCCTCAGGCTTCCGATGGGGGGCCTCCGAGAGGGGGGTCGCCCGCCACCTCGGGTGGGAGGGGGGGCAGAAGGCGGGCGCCCGGCCCCAGGACATTGCCGCGCGGCTGCGCGCCGCGGCCCCCGACGTCTACGAGGACTGAAGGCGGCCGCCGCTCCCCGCGCGCGGGGCCGCTCGGGGATCGGTACGATAGAGATGGTTACGGAAGAAATGTGGCACCAAGGCCGACAGCATTTCTTGCTCATTTTCGGCCGCGCGCTGAGAAGGGTATGGGGGAGCGGAGAAGGCGTCTTAGAAGGAGGTTGCTTCTTAGAAGGCCCGGGCCTTCTCTGTAGATGTAGGGCCGGCGCCTTCTAAAAAAGCAGCATCCTTCTAAGAAGCGTTCCCCCCTCCCCCATACCCCCTTGTGCGAGCCGCTAGTCCCCTATTCATTTTGAATTGGACTCGCTGCCGTTGTCGCCGTGACGGAAGAAGTGTGTACGAGGACCGACAGCGTCTCGTGTGCATTTTGAACAGGGCTCGTTGGCGGTGCCGCCGCGGGCGGTGTCCATCGAAGACAAAGAGTCGCCTGTCCAACAGCGGGCGCTGTCGATGTTGGACAACATTTGCTGTTGGGCATCGTACCCACGTTCTCGGTACACATGCCGGGCGTCCAGAACCAATCCCAGTTGGGGATAGGCCCCTCGAAACCCGAAGGGACAGGCTCTGTCCCCATCTAGTGGGGTAAATCGGCCAGTGGGGCCCAGGCCAATCTGGTGGGGAAAAGCATCGGTTAAACGATGCTCAGCTTGGCCACTCGGGAGCCTCGAAGAAGTTGAGCAGCAGGTGCTTTTCGGGTTCGAGGATCGACGTTTTCGGATGTTTTGGTGAATTCCTGGCGGTTTCCCAGTCATGGGGTGCGTTCCAGCAGCTGCGCCTCGCCGAGAGCGTTCCAGGGATGCCCGAATCCTCCGGAATGGCCGCCAGAGGCGGGAGGTATAGTCCCGAAACCGAACATTCGTATGAGGGCCAGTGCGGTGAGTCAGTGGGGATAGGGGTGATTGGGGCCCCAGAGGTCCCAAAACCGTTCGGTGACGGACCGCGCGGTGAGATCTTTCGGGATTTCGAGGTCACCGCACGGTCTGTCACCGCACCGATTTGGAATTCCAAAGAGAGGAAAAGGAGAATCAGGATGAGGAGGAAGAAGAGGAGGAAGGGAGCATTTTGCTTGTTTCTCCCTGCCTCCCCGCCACCGCCTGCGGATGCCGCTTCGGGACAGGCTGCGCAACAGGAGCGAAAGTGAAGGAATCGGCGGCGGAGACCAAAATCTGCTTTCAAGGTCCCTCCCCGGGCCTTCGAAACAGTGGATCGAGAAGAAAAACGGTCACGGCCACGCCGGTGGCCACGGCGGCGGCGACGGCGACGGCGACGACGGCCACAGATCTCCGCGATGCTGCCGACGATGGCGACCGACGACGCAACGCCCGACGACGCGATGCTGCCGCCGACGACGGCGACTGACAAAGCCGACGGCCGACGACCGCGACGCCGCCGCCCGAGCGTCGCCCCGACGCACTCTTCCGCGCGCGCGCGCGCCGCGCGACCGGCCGCGCCGCAGGGGCCGATTCGATTTTGGATCAACCGCGAGCTCCGGCTGCAGAATACGCGCCTCCGCCCGCCCCGGCCAGGTCCTCGGCGACGACGACGCCGTCGCCGCCGTCGCCGTCGCTGTCGTCGCCGCGCGTCGTCGTCGTCGTCGCAGTCTTCGCTTCTGTCGTCGTCGTCGTCGCCGCCGCAGTCGTCGTCGTCGCCGTTGTCGTCGTCGTTGTCGTCGTCGTCTTCGTCGTCGTCGTGGTCGTTGTCGATGTCGCCGTCGCCGTCTTCGTCGTCGGCGGCGGCGGCGGCAGCAGCATCGCGGTCGTCGGTCAGCGTCGTCCCCGCCGCCAGAGGTGGTAGTGGTTGTTTTCTGGGGTTTCCGTCGCCACAGCTGGACGCAGCACGAAGAATTCGCCAGGGTGGACCCGGGAGTGGCCCGGGATTGATTTGTCAAGTCGCAGAATTGTGGTTTCCGCCGCTGCGACGCAGACGGCGACGACACATTGCCGTTTGGAAGAAGGTGGAAGTTCGGATGTACCCCCATCGAGGACGGATGCCCCCCCTATCTCCCCGAGTTGGCGCTACATTGTTCGGCCACCCAGAAGTCCCTTCAGTCGGGGAATGGGCTCACCATACATAGTGTTCCAGTGGCGCCCCTCCAGTCAAGGTTTCCCCGTGTTTTCAAAAGTGTAACGTTTTGGAGCCTCTGTGAGGCTTTGGACCTGGCGGGACCCTGGATTTGCAGGACTTGGCGGGACCCTGGGGAGACCTGCGAGTTGTCCGAAGGTTTCAGATGGTTTGGACAGTGTCCTTATGTTTTGTAGTTGCGTCCGCGTCAAAGTGCCTCAGCGCTATGTAATCGTGTGTTTCTTGCTCCGCTCAACTGGGTGCCCCTTCTGATGAACCAGCGCGGTGGGCGGAGGTGGCGCCTGTTGTTTGCACGGTTAGGTCAATGCATTAATCGCATCTTCGCGAATTTTACAGGCTCCCGATGCGCTTGTTTTCTTATTTGCGTGGCCTGAAAAAGGGAGACTTGCCCAGCGAAGTCTATGTGATATGCAATGCCCAGCGAAGGTCTGCTGTGATTCACCGTCTCGGCGACTCATGGCAGTTCCGTGTCAGAAGCAGTTTCGTTTTGGGTTGGCGGTGTGGACGCACGAGGCCGTCTTTTGCAGAAAGGCCCAACGATATTGCCAGCAGGCGTTGCGATGATGAGGCGTTCGGATTTTGCAAATTGCAGGAGTTTGGTTTGTTGGCCATCTGAATCGACGAGTGAGCAAGCTCCCTCTGGGCAGTGGGCTCTGAGCCGATCCAGTCACGAGGAGGTCTCCATCCCCCTCCCCTCTCCCGTTCATGTCCTCACCAGTTCCCTTTCTCCCCTCGCCCCTCCCTCGAAGAAGACAAATGTGCATAAGCACTAACTGTCGGAGGTCAGCGCGGATATCTTGGGTCGGCTCTGCCCCCACCCCCCCTGGCGGTGCCTCCAGCGCCGCCTCCAGCGCGCTCCGCGCGCCAGGAAAGGGAGGTCAGCGCCGACCCAAAAGTCAGCGCGGACATCCGAAAGTAATTGCTGTGTATGTTTTTCTTCCTCTACTCCCCCCTCCTCATCCCTTGCCCCTCCTTTCCCCTCTCCTCCCTGCTGTGAGGGGGGGAGACTTGGAGAAGCCGGGGCGACAGTTGTTTCCCTGGGGTGTGGCTCTCTTTTGTCGGGCCCCGCGCCTTCTGCCCTTGCGTAGAACCTTTCTCCGGGGCCTGCCCGCATCACTGCTAGCAGCCTTCTGCCTTCGACCGCCAACTGTTTCTCCAGGCATTGCACGTGCTCTCTCGCCCTTGCCCGCAGCATGTTCGCAGCACCGCACGGGCCAGTCCTGCCGAGCTCCCCGAGAGGTCGTGCGCGCAGGGGCGCAGACGCAAACTCACTCCGTGCTTGCAGGGAAGAGGAACAGGAGGAGGAGGAGGAGGAGGAGGAGGAGGAGGAAAAAGTGGGGTCCGTGGCCATTGTGGCTCAAGCAGCCATCTGCTCGAGGTGGTCCAGGGAAACCAGGTTCCCTGCAGCCTTCACGTTTCTCCCACGATCCTCTCCCCTTGAAGGCCATTCATTTGGCCGAGGGAGAATTCCGATTTTGGCCGCATCGCCCAGCAACTCTGCATGTCGGATGTGCTGGACGATCTCGCGACGATGTCCACGTTCCCCTCCCATGGGCCAGGTTACGACGCCCCTCCGTGGTGCTGCTGGCCCTAGCGCTGTTCGTGCTGACGGTGACGAGGCTCCTGACAACAAGTGAACCATCTTGGCGGGCCGTGCAGGTGGACACAAGGGAAACAGCACAAGAAAAAGCAGGGAAGAAAACGAACACACGGTGACTCCACACTCCTCGGGAACCGCGGGCAGTGGTGCGGTGGCAGGCATCCCCTCGGGCGTACCAGACAGTCAGCTCGACCCTCATACTGCGCAAGCAGTCCCTCCTCTCCCAGGTGGCCAACAGCAACATCGGGGTGCAGGACCTGTCGATGATGTTGCCAGCATGCGAGTGCGAGCTGGCGAAATCCAGGCCGCCTTCCAAGAACCCATATCCTTGGTGCAGAAAAACGCTCAAGCAGAACAATGTTCAGGGCTACCTCACTGGCGCTCTGCTCCAGTGTCCCACAATCGTTCTCGAGTCTCTGTCGCCAGATGGAAGCCATAATCAACGGAGTGGAAGTCAGAGCCAACCAATGAGACTCGAAAATTGCCGATCTGGAGGAATAACTACGCCGTCTTCGCCAGAAACTTCTAGTGGTCCAGAGTGAAGAGCCACAACCGCCTCTTCATACTGCTGGCTCCAACTTCGACGGGCCGATGGACAGGTCCGCGGTCGTCGCTTGCTCCCCGAAGTTGACGGAAAAGAGCGTGGTCCTTGACTCGGTCAACCTTTGGCTCACGGACGCGGACATCAATGATTCGGAGTATTCGATTGACGAGCAGACGCCGACGGGGACCAAGTTCACTGCGCGCTTCAAAGGTTCGCACAACTTCGCCGAGAGGAAGGTCAACCGAGCCCTCGGATCCCTCGGGGCCTCTGCACCTGCAGTCACGCCAGCCGCGCGGCGTTAGTGCCGCGCCGAATCGGTCGCAGACGGCCAGGTCAACCTCTTCGTGAGCCCCGGCAAGAACGCGCCCATGGTGCGGAAGAAAATCAGTTGTAAGAAATTCAAGAGTGCCCTCCTCGTTGAGTTCCCCCAGAAGCGCATCTTCGTCGACCGCTTCAAGGGCGAGGCACTTGCTGGGCGGCGCCCGCTGGTCAGAGCCACCCCCATCGACGGGCGGGGCTCCCCGAACTTCGGCCGGGCCAGCGAGAACCTGCTCGCGGAGAGCATGGACCCCGCAAGGGTTCGACTGACCATTACCAACGCCTTCGGCCCTGCCCAGACAGCCCAATGGAGCTCCTTGCCGCCTCAGCGCCCTGCGGCACGGGCTCGCTCACAAGAACGCCCCCCCCCCCCCCCCCCCCCCCTTTATGTTCTCCATGCGAGTGGTCGCGCGAAACGCGAGGGCGCTATTTCATCATGATCATAGCCTCCGAGCTCGTAAAGCGAAGCTGCTGCGCCGCCTGCTTTCTGAAGGCTGCGCAGTAGCTATCCGAGAGACGCGCGGTGATGAGTGCGATGTCAGGGGCCCCCTTTACTCCCCCCACCTCCCCCTCCAGGCTTCTTGCTCTCTCCATGGCAACTCTAGGGCTGGGTGCGTTATTGCCCTGTTCCCGAGTTCCAAACCATCCGAATGCAGGCGCTGTCTCACTGGCGCCCCCCCCCCCCCCCCCCCCCCCCCCCCTCGACATCGCCCCTGGCCGCGCGCCCCTGACCGCGACAGGGGCTGCGAATGGGGCGCATTGGGCGAAGCATTTGAACATTCGCAAGTTCGATGTGTCAGCGGGCGACCCGCAGCGCCTCTTCAGCGAGAACACAGACGCGTTTCAGCAGGCGCAGGAAGACCCGCTCCATAGATTGTTTCTGGTCGCCTGGGATCTAAACCTCCCTCCTTGCGAATTCGTTTCCTTGAACCCCTCCGATTGTGACTTCAGTGTTTCAACTTGCCCTCGCCTTCGGCCCCTCCCCCGAGATTGGAGTCGACCCCCCCATCGCGCGGTTGCGTTCGAGCTGCTCTCCCCCGCCCATCTCCATGGCCAGAGCGCCGCCCTCGGATTCCTGGACCGCATCTTCACCTCGCTGCCCGGCCGGGTTTTTTCGCAGCTGGCTTGGGCGTGGCTTAATGGGGGGTCGCAAATGGGGGGGTCAGAAAAGGCCCCCTTTCGTGCCCCTTTCGGGCCCCTCCAGAGCCCCAGGGGGCTCGTTTAGGTACCGTTTGGGTACCTTTTCGGACCGCCCTCGCCAACCCCCCATGCATGGCCCCACTGCGCAGCGCCCAACTGGCGCCGGGGGGGGAAGTGGGCGAACGCCCAGCGGCATCGGGCGCCGCTGGTCTTACACGGGTCGCGCCCCAGCGGTCGCCCACACTCGCGCGCGCGCCCGCCGCCGCCTCCATGGGGGGCGCCCCGCCCCGAAGCACATTTTTTCGCCCCCGCCCCTTCCCAGTTTTTTTCCTGGGCCGCGCGGCCGAAGCGGGCCCGTGCGACCGCCTCTCCTCGCCTTTCGTTCACGACCATTATGAGCCCCGATGTTGGAAGTTACTCCTTTCGCTCGTAATCCGCTCCTTCTGAAACGCACCCACGTCCACCCTTCTCGCTTCCGTTGTGGCCCAAGGAATGGCTCGCGCTCTGTCCCGCTAGGATTGGGCCCCGGCCAAGCGTTTGCACCATCGCACCCGCCATGCAGAGAGGATTTGAATTTCGATTACGACACCTTCCGCATCTCCCTCATCGACCCCTCGTTCTCTTCACCCCCCCCCTCCGACGACCTCCACCTCGAGACCGCTTAAGCAACAGAACAATCCCTGCAGGTCAGTGCTCGGCGTCTCTCGCACCCGGCAGCCATCGCCCGCGTCGCCGCTCGCGCTCGCAGATTGGGCCGGCTTGAAGCTGCGGCCCCCGTTCGATCGGCGCATGGCCCTCGCCGGCGTTCGCGCGAGCGACGCTGGGCAGGTCGCCCGAACGCCGTCGGCGACCTCTGCCAGTCTTGCCCGGCACTGGGCCCCGATCTTTTATGCTGAGGAGTGCCGCCACGAGGGGGCGGGGGCCTTCTTGGACATATCCCCCCTTCGCTTTGATTGCGCGGATACCCCCCCCTCCTCCGTGCTCGACATTCAGAGTATCCCGAAGCTCGGGCCCGCAGCTCCCCCGGCCCCGACCGCTTGCCACACTGCGCTCGACGCTTCGCCACTCGCGGCGCTGATGTGCCCCATAATTCGACGCGCTGGATTCAATCTGGCCGAGTCCTCCTGCACGGGCACAATGCCGCGAGAGGAGTTTTCGCCCCGACGGGGTCGGACCCCCCCGGGGAAGCACCCGGCGCTCGCCCCCCGCATGGCGCCCGCCCGCTCGGATTGAAGAACTGTGGCAACAAAGTCATGGGGGGGGCGTCGGCCCGCCCCTTGACCCGCGCTCTCCCTGCGGGCCTCGACGAGGGCCAGCGCGGCTTCGCCCCCCGCCGGAACTTCGGCTACAACATTTGGGAGTTAGACGCGGCTGGCAGGGAAGCCAGCATGCAGGATGATCCCCACCTCCGCCTCCCTGCCGTCTTGTGCTTTGACTTTGGCCACGCCTTCCCCTCCATGCCCCGACGTTGACTCTTTGCCGCTCTGCGCCGTATCTCCCTTCCCCCGCCTCTCCTCTCCCGCCTTCCTGACTTGTGCTCGGGGGTCGGCTGCTCTGGCCTGGCGGGTGGCATCGAATCATCCAGGGATGTCCTGCGAGCGGATCGCTGATCGCTATAGGGGCCGATCCGCCCCTTCGGCGCCATCGGGTTTTGCTGGGGCTGAGGGGTCTGCTGAGAGCACGCGCGGTCGACGTCGGAGCTGTCATTTACCAGTCAGAGGACATCGCTGTCCATGCTTCTGGACTCCGAGTCGCGGAGCGACTCGCGCGGCTCTGCCCGAAGGCGCGCGAGTGCAAGCCGGCGCCCGCAGCTGCTGCGTTCTCAGAACTTCTAGCTCGGAGATATATGGTGTCTCTCTCGTGGCTCTGCCCCCCCCCCCCCCCCGCTGGTCCAGCATCGAGATTGTCTCCGCGGCCCCCTACCTTGGGATATGGACGGGCCCAGCAGTTACCCCGATCACCCCCTGGGAAGCCCCATGGGACAAGTTCCTCAATCGCGCCCGCATGCTCGCAAATGAAGGCGCCCCGTCTGAGCTCACCGCCACTACGCGTGCCAGTCGAGTGCACGCTGTTCTGGCTTGCGTGGGCCAGTGCCAGTTCATCGCGCCAGCTGGGGAGCGGCGCGAGACAGCGACGCTGGCCAGCTTATTTCAGCACCCGGGCTCTCGAGTCGACGAGGGTGGATGGTCGAATCTAGAGAAGCGGGAAGGCCCCAGAATCCAGAGCATGGTTTTCACGAACATGGCTCAGCTAATTCGTACCAGCCGATATGCGCTTGCTGACTGGCCGCCCATCCCCGAGGTGCCCCGAGCGGTCGCCGAAGAAGCTTTGCCGCTCATGCGCGTTGCGAAGGGCTCGACGTGGCCCGACTTCTGGAGGCAGCAGTTTTGGCCGTCCTTCTGGAAATCCCCATGCGCTCGTCGGCGCCCTCGAGCAGCCCCCGCGGGCTTCCCCAACATTCCATATATACATATATGTATATATACCCGTTATGTGACCAAGCCATTTAACAATTTAACAGTTCAGCATGCTCGTCGTCATCTTCCCCCTTCACACCCTTCACCGTCAGCGTCGCCTCTCTCGTCTTCTCCTGGCCACACTTCGAGATCTTT